CCCTGGCGGTGTTCAAGGCCAGGTTGGACACAGGGGCTTGGAGCAACCTGCTCTAGTGGAAGGTGTCCCTGCACTTGGCAGGGGGTTGGAACTAGATGATCTTAAAGTCCATTACAACCCAAACTATTCTATGATTCTATGATAATTTTACTCAAAACTTACACTGCATTCTGAGTAGACTCTCAACTGCTTACTTACAGCCTTTATATATTTCTTCTTTCTTAGTTCTGCCCATAGCAAAAAACATGTTGCTATATGTCACCACCCTTCTTAAATGTACTTTCACGTGGTAGCTCTGAATTTGAATTTGTTTTCTGCCACAGCTGTTGGTATGAGAACTTTGTCTTAGATCTGCTCTTGCACTGGCCCTTTACTTACTTAGTATTCACTTTGGGAACTCACATCTTTGCTATTCTGAGTGACAGTGATTGAATTCAGATCTTCTTCCTGATACTAAAATTCTAAGGAATGCAAGTCAGTCATTTTCAGGATTTAAAAACCTGAGCAGTATCAGATACCAATTTTATACAGCAGGTTGTGGCATTTTAACAGCCACAGATTTAGCTGCTCTCTGTATGATTCAGACTCAACCTTTTTTGCCTCCAAGATTGGAAACAAGGCGAATTCAAACTGTTTCCTCAGCTGTGATAAGTTTATGGAGAGTGACTGTATTTAGTTCCTTAAACACAGGCCTGCTTTTGGGATCACAAAATGGAGGGGATGCAGGCTGCTCTTCACGAGGAAAAGCAGGAACAAGACAAGTTCCAGAAGGACCCAGTATTCCTACAACTGATTTGGCAGTTGATTTGTTTGATCCCAAAAGCAGCATGTCTTTCATGGATTTCAGCCTCCAGAGCCTTGCTTATCCCTGCTGTAACTACTGACTTCACAGCACTTACGTTGGGATGGACTGATCACTTGCACTTTTTGTTTTGGTTTTAGTAGATACTTCATCAGTGACCCTGTTTTTCCTTCCAGTCTCAGTGCCAAGAGTTTCCTGTGGTCTCCAGCGTTTGCTCTTGCTCTGTACGTGCCTGACTGTGGTCAGGAGGAGGACATGGCACTCAACGACACTATGGACACTGGCAGGCAACCAGCTGCTCACAGGGTCCAAAGAGAAGTAGAGACGGAGGCGCACTTGCAGGCACACTGTGAAAGAGAAGCACCCTCTGCCTTGGGTAGAGGACTACAGATCTCAAGAAAGAACAGACGGCTGTATTGCAGGTGAGTTCTACGCTAGGACTTTATCAGGGGTAAAGAAACTAAGGAGAATCTTCAAGGCCAAGAGTAAAAAAAGGATGCTTGCTAACTGAAGTGCTGAACTACACTGATTGGTAACCAAAGCAGCTTGCACCTGAAGCGTACAAGATCACTGCACTACCAAAGGTGCTCTTTGCAATCTGCAGAAGTGTCTGTTCGCTTCAGGACTATGACAGAGAGAGGGATAGATGAAGTGTAAAGAGAAACTGCCAGAAGTTGTAGTTCCATCCAGTGTTGCTGTCAGACACAGGCTTTCAGCTGCTGTTTTCTGATTTGTGCCTTTTGATACTTCTTATATTTCAAGAGCCTTTTTCTGTTCCTTCTTACCTGAGGACATGCAAAGTGGCACCATGGTATTACTGAGATTGACGGAACCGCTTTTCATTGTTTTGGAGCTATGTTCCTGTGTTTCTTGAGGAGAGTAGGGGAGGCTGAGGTACTGATAAGGCATTAAGGCTTCCACAGCCTCATTTTCCTATCTGATAAAATTCTCTTTTGGGCATTATACTGGGAGTAGAAGCATCTCTTCTACCATGGAAGTCCTGCAGAATGTAGCCTGCAGCTACCTTGCAACTCAACTTGGCAGTGAGACTCCTATGCTGCTTTGTTGACAGCACAGGAGAATTCCTGACGTTCTTCTGGCAAGGGAAATACATTAAAAAAAATAGGATGCACGTTCATCAGCTTCCCTTTTAGTTTTGTTTGACTTAGGAGGGGATTCTCCCATCCTCTGCTGTGCTCTGGGGAGACTCCCCTGCAGTCCTGATCCAGCTCTGGGACAGCAACACAAGAGGGATGTGGAGCTGCTGAGCAAGGCCAGAGGAGGCCCCGGAGCTGCTGCGAGGGCTGGAGCAGCTCTGCTCTGGAGCCAGGCTGAGAGAGCTGGGCTGGAGCAGCTGGAGAAGAGAAGGCTCCTGAAGGGGACACCTTAGAGCAGCTCCAGTGCCTAAAGGGGCTCCAGGAAACCTGGAGAGGGGCTTTGGACAAGGGCCTGTAGGGACAGGACAAGGGGAATGGCTTGAACCTGCCAGAAGGGAGACTGAGATGAGCTCTGAGGCAGAAGCTCTTCCCTGTGCGGGTGCTGAGGCGCTGGCACAGGGTGCCCAGAGAAGCTGTGGCTGCCCCATCCCTGGCAGTGTTCAAGGCCAGGTTGGACACAGGGGCTTGGAGCAACCTGCTCTAGTGGAAGGTGTCCCTGCTTGTGGCAGGGGGTTGGAACTGGATGCGCTTGAAGGTCCCTTCCAACCCAAACCAGTCCCTTCAAACCCAATCCTCATTTTGGATTCTGTGACTACAAATATCTCTGTTTTCTTTCTGAGTCTCTTTTTGTATCCGGAGTGGATTGTCAATGGTTATGGCTATGTCTACTCCACAAAGTCCTCCTAAGAAAGTAAATACAAAATCTCTGATTCATTATCTATCTGGACTTCATTTCAGCATTTACACTGAGGGTACACTGACACTGAAAATTAAACTCTTGTTTTGAGACCCTGGCAGGACTTGAGGCTCAAGCCTACTACGGGTGAGGTTCCACAAGGTGTGGTGAGCTGATCTACCAGCTTGTTGTGCCAGAAGGGACAGGACCACACAGGGAAAGGAAGGTAGAGGAGCCAGACCTCTCTTTCTGTATAACTAGCTCTTACACCAGCTCAGCTCTATGTGGGACTGCAGCCTAAAACTATGGGTCACATCTGACTTACACTGCTCTAAAGTAATTTCCTGGTGATAAGTGAAGGCAAATGGAGCCATGGTTTAAGTTGCTATTGTGTTTCCTACTTTTCACTCACCAGGAAGACTTGTCATCTAGATGAATTTCTGTAATAGTGAGATCCTTCATGTTGTGCAATAGCCGCCTGTTCCAGTGCTGTCTTTTTAAATACCAAAAAAGGAGATTGGATGAAGTTCTGGAGTCAGAGAAATAAAATTACTTGATCAAAAGGGTTGAATTGTTTAGAATTACAACCTGTGATCTGGAATTAAAAGTCTGTCCACCTAGAAACACCTGCTGCAATAAAATAAGTCTTGCCCAGCGATCACAGGGAGAATTTTGCTCTAAAGTCATAGCTAATGTTATTGGAAACTTTATCATTGCACTCGATGCTAAGTAAGAAAATCTCTTTATTCCCCCTCTCCTCCCCCCCGTCATTGAAGAACTGTGTCTCCCGTGCTACCTCATATACCTTTCCTGGTTTATTTTCCACTTCCCTGTCTCATGTGTTTCCTCTGTTCTCCATTTTGTATCTGCTTGTCAGCCCAGTGTGTAGTCACCTTGGACAACAAAGTGATGTCACCTGGGCTCAGTCCCACAGCCACTGCTCCAGGCAGCCAGAAGCCTTGGGCAGACACTACATCACTTATATTTGGGTTGTAAATAGCAAATCACCAACATTGCCAAGGGATTGAAAAGGGGAAGAAGGAGCACGGGGTCATGGGGTTCATCAGTTTACCTACTGGAAATTCTGATTCCAAAACATATCCACAAACTAAATCACATAGGCCAAGTCCTGCTTGCGTCCCCTTAGTCAGTCATGTCATACAGGAAACACTTGACTGGTTTTTTTGAGATGGGATAGGTTTGTCTATTTTTGCCACTCCTGATGTGTTTGCTTTTCTTCCAGCTCAGGACAGGAGGAATCAAAACACCATTTCCTATTTGGCTGTGGTGTTAATGAGGTCAAGTAGTTGATGCTGTCATATGAATGCACATGAGAGTATTTGCACTTCATCTGAATGGAATGCAAAGGCAGGGGGGTGCCTGTGTAGGATCCATGTTGGGTGCCAGCTGGATCCATGGAAGGCCGGTGCCTATGTGTTTCACAGGACACAGTGCCTGAAGAGAGCTACCACAGCTTCTGTGCAGACATGAGGCCGTGCAGAAGCACTGCAGAGACTGTAAGAGAAATTGCCTATGGCTTAGCTTATCTGGTTCTTTTCAGATTCTCCTGGAGAAGGTTCAGAAAGATCATACTCATGATGTTCCCTATCCTGAACTGGCTGTTTTCCTATCGGTTCAGAGAATGGATCATGAGGGATCTGCACGCAGGCCTAAGTGTTGGGATGTTTCAGATTCCTCAAGGTAGGCAGAGAGAAAAAACACACTTTTGTATATCATGCTTTTCACAATCTATCTTCTGTATGTGCTTCTGTTCTATCCAACATCGTCAGGTTACATGGGAAGTTCCTTAAATCATTAACCTCTTTATTTGCATATTGCAGGAGAAATTCTTTTTTATAATCAGACATTCATTACATGGTGTCATTTCAAGGACAGGACACTACTCAAAATACAAACTAATATCAGCATTTTCCTGTACTTCACACAAATTAATATGGTCTTTAAAATCTGCCTTGCAAAATCAGGTCTGTTAGATACTCACAGGCACAGTCCCCTGCTAATAGGTGGCCTAAATGAAGAGTGGTTGCCCAGAGAAGCTGTGGCTGCCCCATCCCTGGCAGTGTTCAAGGCCAGGTTGGACACAGGGGCTTGGAGCAACCTGCTCTAGTGGAAGGTGTCCCTGCCCAGGGCAGGGGTTGGAACTGGAGGAGCTTTAAGGTCCCTTCCAACACAAACCAGGCTGGGATTCTGTGATTTCTAGTTAGCAAGGGCCGTGTTGTAAAACAATGGCTGTTGTCACTAACTGGCCTGGCTTTATCGGGTCCTGAACTGGGACTTTTATAAAGGTTGTCAAGTTTCTATCAGCAAAATTTTCCTTAAAAACAGAACCAAGGATAGAGCACCTTCCCAATGTGCTTGATTTTAGAAACAAACTTTTGCTTTCCAGGGCTTCTGGGAGTTTGGCTGACCAGGTTACCTCTGCCCAATACCAATGGCTTCCTTTCTGCGTTCTGCTGCTCCATGACATATGTTATATTTGGGACTTCACGTCATATCTCAATTGGTGAGGTTTGTTTTGTACTGTGAAATGTTTCTGCAGGACTTGGAGACTGTGTTCAATGCTGCTTCAAAAAGCAGGTGAGATGTCCTATCTGTATCATCTAATAGGCGGATGCTGTTTAGGTGAGGTGAGAATCCAGACCCCAAGATTCTCAGTTCATCATTGTTCCACTTCTGTAGCTCATCTGTAGTGAGAATTCCATGAAGTCAGTCACGTTTCTACTGTGAGGTGCTTTGTACCTCTGAGTTAGCTCCTGTGTCACACACATGAGTGCAAGGGAGATGCTGGAGCGTCACGGACACGGCTCCTACTTAAAGGACCAATGGAAGCTCCTCCACATTTACCCCCAGGATGTGAATAATGGTTTGGCTTCTGGTCTTCTACATGCAGTTTCTTGCATGACTGAACTCTTGATTTATTCAGAAGCTAGCTTATTAAAATGCTATTACATGTGAGAAGGCCCTTCACATTATCATACTAAGTGGGTGAGTGGAGCTGTGGCCTCTTAGGTAACGTGGCAGTTCTTTCTCTGTTTTTCACCCTTCCTGACAGCTCCTTTTTTTGTGCTTTACATTAAAATCTTCTTCTTGTGCATCTGACAAAATGAAGATTTCACATGTAAAATGGTAGGAATCTGGAATTTTTAGACAGGACTTTGAAAACTTTAGGTACTTACTCAGAAACAGTAAAAATTAATTATGTATTTGGCATATATATATGAATGAGAATAGACTGTCTCATACTGCATAGATAGATGGTAGAGGGGAGAGATGGTTCTGTGGGTTTAACATAAAGCTTTGTTGCAGCATGTCATGCAGTTCCATTTTCTGTTCTCTTTTCTGTTGGCTCCAGGCTCATTCAGCATCCTAAATATGGCAGCAACAAACGTTCTGAAGACACTTAATTTTAACCAAACGTTGTCCTCTAATGGTTCACCAGACAACTACTCAGACCCTTCTCAGGCCTTGACACTTACTGCATCAATAACATTTTTGACTGGAATCATTCAGGTAGCAGATGAATCTGTTTTATATCCTTAATTGATGTATCCTTATGTGCATTCTTCATACGAATGTAAGGATTGGAACTGCTTGCATATTTGTACCACAAATACTGAGCTCAGCATATTTCAATACATATGTTGTGCAAAGTGGGACAGGAAGGTCTGTCTCTTCCTGTCATGCTGTGTGGAAAAGATATGGTAAGTTTAAGATTCATGTGTTCTGCAATATGTAGTCCTGCATAACTGCGCACACTTGATGTGAACTGCTCCTGCTTTGGTTTGGCAGTGTCTTACTTAATTGTGCATAATGAAAATGGTGTGTTTAAATAGCTGTCCATTGTGTGTGGTGGTGAAGAGTCACATGAAAACAAGAAGAGTGGGTTTAGACATTGAGAATTATATCACATCTCTCTTCTCATTTGTTCCATGCAGTTGCTGCTGGGCTGTTGTTGCCTGGGGCTTGTAAAAACATACGTGCCAAAGACTCTCATCGATGCTTGCCTCACTGCAGCAGCAGTGCATGTCATTGTAGCACAGCTTACCTTTATCTTTGACATCGTGCTTGACATCCCTGCAAGCCCCCTGGACATTTTCTATGTGAGTCAATTCATTATTAGTCGAAGAAATGCATGTTTCTTGGAGGGGAGAGAAAAGAACAGCTTCAGAAATGGAAGGCAGTTCCATTCTAAATCAGTTGCTAAGGGATATTTGTGCCAGGCTCAGCTGTAGTTCACTTCACCTTCCTGTTGGCTTGAATGGTGTAGGGAGCTGCTTGTGTGAGATGCAAGAAGAAAAGGCTGTGTCCATATTTAAATTACCTACATAGGTCTAGAATGTATTTTCAGCACGTCTATAATTGTAGTAAGGCAAAGATTAGAGGAAAAGGTACTTTTTTCCTCAATAGATCATCATGGACAAGCTATTGGGCACATAGTATCTTTCTGACAAAGAAGCAGCAGACTCTAAGCTAAAGACAAGTTAATGCTAATTCATCCTCATTTACTTTAATAATGACAGAAAGGTAGTGCAGAAGAGAGAATGACAGTAGCAGATCTGAGCTATTTGTGCAAATCTGTATCTGCAGATAGACAAGATTTTATTTTTAATATTTCATGCTCTTAGCATCTCTTTTTCTAACTGAAGATCCCACGGTGTCAGAGAGGATGAGTTCAAGTGTCGGGGCAGCTTATGTCAATCTCCTGCAGTATAAACATAGCTGTAGTATCTTGCCTCTGATATGCTCTCTGATGGTTCTTTTTCAGAATCTCTTTCATTTCTTCTCGGCTATCCCAAAGGCTAATGCTACCAGCATATTGCTATTTTTGCTTAGCATGGCTGTACTACAAGTCACTGCATCAGTCATGATAGTTTATAAACGTAGTCTTATGGCATTTCCTATGGAGCTTCTCTTGGTAAGTGATCTTCAGAATGCCACTGCAATAACAGAACTAACACAGCATATAATACACTTCATTTCACAACACAGTTCATATATTCCTTGCACACTGAATCTGTGCTTAAGTCCTTTAAATACCCCTACAGGATTAACTGCCTTTTCATAGACTGTGTACAGCTTCATGAGCAAATGCTGTCTAATCTTTGGTATTGCTTCTTGTTTTCTTTCCCAGATTATCACAGTCACCATTATTTCTAATTTCATTCATCTTCGTGCTGAATCTAGTAATGCTGTGGTCAGTATGATTCCTCAGAGGTTAGTTGTCTGTGCTGTTTATGAGGTTGTACTTTTGAGATAAGAAAGAGATCATAGATGTTTCAGCCTGTTTTTGAAATCTGATGTGGGTTGATTTTACTGGGATGTAGAACTAGAGGAACAGCTCTTCAAGAGTTTTAATTGCATCAGCATTTCCAAGCATATGTAGAATTCAAACAACAGTTTTCTGCATTAGCGTCAGGTTTTGGTTAGCACACAGAGGAAGGAATTTGCATTTTGTGTGAGGTAGAAGTCTTACAGACTGAGAGCACCTTCTGTGGGGTGCTGGATGCTTGTGATGGTAATCCTGGGTTTGGAGTTCCTGTGGACAGAGCTCAGGTCTAAGCTCATCTGTTCTCTGATTCTGCAGGTTTCTGCCTCCTGCAGTGCCAGATGTATCAAACCTGAACAAGGTCATACTGCATGCCTTCTCCATTGCTACTGTGAGCTATTTCCTCCTTGTTTTTGTTGGGGAGAGGTATGCTTCACTTCACAGCTACCGTATCGCCAGCAATCAGGTGAGAACACAACTACACGTACTTCCTAGGACAAGAAACAAGCTGAATTTGATTTGCAAAGCCACTGACTAGCTGGCAGTGGTAGAAATGCAAATGAATATGCCAGATGATGGTTTTGTAACAACTTGTTACCCTTCCCTATGGAAAGTGGATGTTACAAGCCAATAATACGAAGGCCAAAACACAGCTGCCTTTGACCAAGAGGCTTTTGTATATTCACAGGGATTGGGATGAATCTCATGCACAGGTAGTGCTGTAAATGACCGTTGCTGTCATGAATCCATGGGACTATTAAAGCGTAATAGCTGGAATTGTAAATGGCCAGAGCAGCTGTAGTTGTTCTCTATATGTTCTCTCGTACACTGTGAATCCCAGTATATGGGTGCTCTGCTCTGAGAGGCTTTTAAGCTAAAACCATGTTAGTTTCCAGTGTTCTAGGGTTAGCAAGCATTAGGTGTTTTGCATGTTTAGCTTGTTGTGATGGTGTTGGATCTTTACTAGAATGGAACTAAGCCAGTAAGGAAGCTGACCTGATTTTCCAAAGCCTCTGGGGATAAATATAAAGGGAATGTCTTTTCCACTCAGCTTTTCTCCAGGTGCACTATGCTGCGTACTGAGATTTGCCACTTCGCAGCTCAAAAGTCAGTGCTTCATAGCTTTGGGGTTGGTTCTAGGTGGGTTTCTTTGAAAGAAGGAACGGAATTGTTTTGTCCATGCGACCCTCAGCTGTGTAAACTGTATGAGTTTTAAGAGAGCTCCTTTAGCCCTGCTTTCTAGAAGGTTTCCTGAGCTTAGCAACACAGATGAGCAACCAGCAAGCATGGGCAAAAGGAAAGGAATTCTTGGTAAGCTACTTCTATGAAGGTAAGTCACTCATTTGGGGTTTTCTGTGCTTCCTTCTGTGTCTGTTTTACAGGAGCTTATAGCTGTGGGGCTATGCAATATCTGCAGCTCATTTTTCAGAAGCTTTGTTGTTAGCTGTACTATTTCTGGTACTGTCATTCAGGAGAGGACAGGTGGAAGGACCCAGGTGAGTTGGGCTTCCAAACTTTACTTACAAGGAAGCAAATGTTTCCATCAGGCCTGTCTGATGTGGGATTTCTGTTCAGTTAGCAGCAGCAATTGGAGCATGTGTGATGCTGGTGATTGCGCTGAATCTAGGACACTTTTTCCAGATGATACCTAATGTAAGTGAACCTGAAGTAGTTCCAGCAGCAGCCTCCTTATTTCTAGGCATAAAATGAAGGTTTTTCTAAAGGTAATATGAAGATTTTTCTGGATTGTTAAGGATTAATCAGGCTCTGAGTTAGTTGTTTTCAGGGATGGGCCAAACCACAGCAATGACTCTAAACACTCCTAAATTTCAGCAGGCCAACGTCTTAGGTAATGGGTATGTCATCTCTCTCCCATCTCTCACTGATCAGTACAAGCTAAACTTCATGGGCTAAAACTGAATTGCAGTTTCAGTGCCAGTATCTGTAAGTTAAACACTGTGTTTCACTTCTAGTTTCACGTCTTAAAGCTTTTGCACATCTGTGTAACATATTCCTGAGTTTCTCTCTTGCATCACTATAAGTGGTTCCACGATGGGTGCTTCAAAATCTTTAGTGTAAATAAAATTTTCCAAATGTAAATTTGGGGTTAGTAGCTCTGATTCTAGCTCAGTCCTTGAGATTTATTTTAAAACCATATGGAGTATTAAACTGCCTTCTGTGGATTTTGTATTGCCATTGCAATACACATAAACATTTTGTGATTGTGGGTTAATGAGAGTACTCAGTTTTCCAGTTTTCCCTTAGATTTTTATCTAGACTTTCCTTTTATTCAGTAAGTTCTCTTAGGGAACCACTTCCTGACTTTTTTTCCTGGCCTTCTTGTAAGATGGGAAAATAAATCCCTTTCCCAAAACTAGTTGACAAAACAGAATTTAACCATCTACTCCCCTTCAGTCTCCTCCTCTTTGCTAAGAGGCTGTTTCAACAAATGGTGTCAGACAACTTTCTAAATCTGGCAATGAACTGCCTGTGCTAATTGAAACCATTCTTTGAAACAGCAGCTCATAATGCTGCAGATAGATAGTGTTGGCCTTTCTCCTAGTGCTGCAGGAGAAGAACTCAGTAATGGAAACTACACAGAGCATTTCAAGAGGAAGTCCAGTTGTATTGGCAGAAGCGATTGTGAAATCATTGTATGTTGGTTTCCTGTTGGTTTGCAGATCAGAGGAGAACTGTTATACATCATGGAATGGTTTGGGTTGGAAAGGACCTTAAAGCTCCTCCAGCTCCAAACGCCTGCCACAGTCAGGGACACCTTCCACTAGAGCAGGTTGCTCCAAGCCCCTGTGTCCAACCTGGCCTTGAACACTGCCAGGGATGGGGCAGCCACAGCTTCTCTGGGCACCCTGTGCCAGCGCCTCAGCACCCTCACAGGGAAGAGCTGCTGCCTAATGTCTAATGATGGAAATAAAGCTATGATAAGATTTTAATTTCAAGCAGGTTGTCATGGATATCTGTTTGTGGTTACAAACAAAAAAACCCCCGAAATAATAGATGTTATTTGTTTGATTTGCACAGTGTATCCTGGCTGCTATTGTGGTATTTAACGTGTCTCCTTTTCTTCAAAAATTTCGGGATGTCCCCCTGCTGTGGAGAAAAGATAAGTATTATTTTGTAAGTGTCAAGAAAAGCCACCTAGGATTTGGAGTGTGTCCTAAAGGGAGAAATGGATGTTTCACGAGGGCAGGGCAAAGCAGTGGCCATTCCCTTTGAAATAGGTCCTGAAGAAAAGTGTCATGACATCTCTTCAAATCAATTTGCAATTCATTCTATAGAGAGAAAACGTATTCTTGTTGTTTCTTCCCAGATCCCTTAAGAAGGCAATTGTCAAGCTGCGAGACAGAGCCACATGCTCATGTCAGCTCTTGTGCAGGATTTCTTATAAAGACCCCCAATATGACATGGGTTTTCCTAATTTTAGAGGTCCTGATAAAACATCTCGAGATTTGAACTGGAATTTGTGATCCTTGTTTGCAACTGCTTCCAGGACTGGGTTGGTCTAGCTGTGCCAACAAAGCCTTTCATGTGTTACCATGTCCAGGCCTTTATATTGTCTGCAATCTGTAAATGCTGGGTCTGAGTTAGCGATCATTTTTCATCTTTTTAATGTTCATGTTCTCTCTCTCTCTCTCTTTCAAGGTTATTTGGCTGGTAACTTTTGCTGCAGTGCTTTGTTTGGGTCTTGATATGGGTTTAGTGATCGCCATGGGATTCACATTCCTCCTTATCACCATTAGGTTACACAGGTACTTGTAACTTCTAAAAGAAAATACTGTTTTTCTTAGAGTTGATGCTTTAGAGAGAGTTATACATGTGACAGTGAAAAAGCTGTTTCATGTTCATCAATACTTCAGTCAGGTTATTCTGGATGACTTAGTCATAGAATCGTAGAATCATAGAATGGTTTGGATTAGAAAGGCCCTTAAGATCATCCAGTTCCAACCCCCCTGCCATAGACAGGGACGCCTCACCCTAGACCATGTTGCCCAAGGCTCTGTCCAGCCTGGCCTTGAACACCACCAGGGATGGAGCATTTACCACTTCTTTTGGCAACCTGTTCCAGTGCCCCATCACCCTCACGGTAAAGAACTTCTTCCTTATATCCAACCTGATGCTGTCAGCATCCAGTAATCTCCTCAAGTTTATGGTCCCTTCTGCAGGTGTGTCATGTTCTTGAAGGCTGCTTATTGTGCTGTAGCCATCAGCCAGGAGAGGTGATCTCTATATGCACTTGTATAGGGATAAAATGAGATGTTGTGCCTTTATTTCAAATACATTCCTCAGTCTTCACTGCCATCTACCAAGTTGCTTTATCTTCCCCATCAACTCAGTCTGTGATAGGGGAGGGAAGTTATGTCAGGCGTGCATTACTCAGTTTATTAGCTGCTAATCCAAACAGGAAAATCATTCATAAATCCAAGCCACACCTCATGAGATTTGCCATGATAGGGAGGCGCTTGTCTGAGTAGACTGGAGCCTCTCAAACAACATGGAAAGAGGTAGGAAGAAACTCAGATGCTGCAAATACTGAACTGCTCGTGATCTGATCCAGAGTAGCTCTGTGAGGATACCTCCAGGAAGAATTTCAGTTGCTGTCTGGCACTCACTGTATTAGCTCTGCTCAGAGTTATGCTCTTGGGTTCGCCTTGGCATTTAATGAGCATTGTAAAAGGGCATTTCTGCAGCCACAGTTCAGTTTCCCTGTTGTCCATACCACCTTCAGGATACATTAATGCTTATCAATTTCCTACCAGTGAAGGCATTATGCTCAAAAAAGCATGGGAAGTTATCCGCCAACAGATTACTTTGAATAGAGTGTCTTGACAACAATTTTCCATACACCAGGACCCACTGCCTTCCAGTTCCCCAGCAGCCAGCCAGCCACGTGTTTATTCCACTCATGCCTTGAAGCAACCAGAACTTTCCCCAGAGTCATGCAGCACCACTACTAGCAAAGCATGGTCCCCACAACAGGAGACTCTCCTTCAAGGCAAAACTCTGCATTAATGTTTCTGCATGAGCTCTGGATCAGGTCTAGCCTATGTGCAGCTCCAAGCACAGGTTACAGCTGCCTCCACCAAATGGATCTTTGAGGAGAGCTGTGGGGAAACAAGTGTAATAACAATAATCCAAGTGTTCCAGAGCTAGAAATGGGACATTATACCCTCTTGAGGACACCAGTGTGGCTGAAGGCTGTACTTGTATACTGCTCTCCTACTCAAAGAACCCTGATTGTAAGTGAATAACTTTATGTCCTCACACCCTCTAAGTTACAGTTGGTGTATCTAGTAGAGAGGAGAGAAATGGAGATCAACCTTTTGGGAACAGATGGTATTTCTTGGTTCTCTGTGAAAACCTAATAAACATCTTGTTTCAGGATGAAGATGGTGATGCTGGGACAGATTCCAAACATGAATATTTATAGAAGTTTATCTGACTACAAAGCTGTAAGAGGAAACAAAAAGCAAATATTCCATCTTTCTCTGTAATTCAGCTTCTTCCCTTAAATGCCTGGGGGTCACCATTCAGACTCAGTTCATTTGATTCAAAACTCTGAAGAATAGTGAAGTATTTACAGTGTGAAGTGATGCAGATACCTCACGCAGCCTGCTCAGGCCCCTGGAGCACCTTGTGTCCACCTCTGCTGTCTCCATGGTGGAAGCTGCTCTGCTGTCCATGAGCTGTTTGGCATTTCTTTTTTGCTGACCTGCCTTTCTCAGTCTGGTTTTGTCCATCCCACATGTGTTTTCACATTGGCTGTGCATGTGCTAAACTGACTCACAGGTTTTCCCAGTGATGGGAAAACAGGCAGGGCCTTTTTAACACATTCTTTTCAAGACCTGCACCATGCAGATGTAGGCAATGCAGCAGTAGAGAGCTTTGCCTTTGCCACATGGGTACATTCCCAATGCTATGATGATGATTTGCAAAAAATAGACTCATGTAAGGACAAAGTTAGTAAGACAAAGATCTAGTGTATGTTTTCTGTGATGAGCAGTAAAAATAATTTGCTTTATTTTATATAGGAGCAGCCAAGTGTCAGCTGTGATAGATCTGCTGGAGGAATGTTTTTAAGTGCAAGAGAATCACAGAATCATAGAATTAGGGAATGGTTTGGGTTGGAAGGGACCTTCAAGCTCATCCAGTTCTAGCCCCCTGCAACGGGCAGGGACACCTTCCACTAGAGCAGGTTGCTCCAAGCCCCTATGTCCAACCTGGCCTTGAACACTGCCAGGGATGGGGCAGCCACAGCTTCTCTGGGCACCCTGTGCCAGCACCTCAGCACCCTCACAGGGAAGAACTTCTGCTTTATATCTAACCTGAACTTCCCCTGTTTCAGTTTAAACCTATTACCCCTGTTCGCAACACCACTGCCAGGGTAGTCAACAGAGGGACCAGCCAGACTCCATCCTTAGGGTAGGACATTGCAGGCTACAACACAGTCAGTAGGGGAAAACCAGCTTCTGCTAGTTACAACCCTAACATATAACTTTTGTTTTACAGGCAAAGGAGATTGAAGGAATCAAAATCTTCCAGTGCTGTTCTTCCATCTCTTTTGCCAACATGAATTGCTTCAAAACCTATTTGTTGAATAAGGTAAATGTCACTTTTTCAGTCAGCAGTTTTTAAGGACCTGCATTAGGGAGATAAAAACCTGAATAAATCTGCCTTTCTTTTCCAGATGGATATGAAAACAGTTCCTCTAGATGTAAGTGAAATGAGGTCTTTTAGTTCACATCATCTGGCTGACACTACAGTGGGAAGAGAAGATCGTACATGCTTTTGTGTCTGTGATCCACCTCTACCACCAACTATGGTCAGCTTTAAGAGTGTATTTAGTCTGTTGCTCTGAGGTGCCTGGTTTTGCATTACTGAAGAAAACAGGCTTAACTTGCCAGTACTGAAAGGGCTGTAAATGTTTATATAAAGCATATATATATATTTGCTGTATGGAAATAAGCAAACATTACCACTGTATTTCTTTACACATACTTTATGTGATAGAGCAATAGTAGTTCATCTTACTGGGAGAATTTAACCAGCAGTTGAAGTATTCAACACAGCTACAAGAATTATGGCCTTCAATAGGGATTTTCTTATTTCTCCCTATAGATTGAGAAATTCCCTTACTTATGAGGAATTTCTTCCAATGCGAAGTGCAAGTACAAAATATCTCAAAGACAGCTACAAATATCATCATAAGACTATCAAGTTTAGAGGATTTCTTATATTTGTAATTGTCCATTGTGCATCTTCTAGAGTCACTCATATCGAATACTTTCTATTTGAATTTTCCAAAATGTCTTAGAAAGGGACTTCATGGAATGGACAGTCTTCAGAAGATATTTCTCAAGCAGTTACATGTGATTTTAAAAGCCATTGTATAATAAATGGGTTGAAAGACAGTGGTTAGGAAAACATCTGTGGCACCAAGGTGCTTAGGAAGTGGAAGTGGTAAATAATTTAACATCATCTTCTGAAGTATAAAAATGCAAAGAGTGGCTTTTCCTTTCTTGCCTTATAAAAAGGAACTATTAAGAAAGAAAACATGATTAAATTGGTGTGTTCTGTGAGCAGCTGTCATACAAGAAGCAGATGAGTCAAAGGTCTGCAGAACTCAGCCAGTAAGGGTCAGCTTTCTGTTGCCCAGAAAGGCAGTCGCCACAGGCCATCTTTTAATCTTCTTTTCTTTTCTGAAAGGTAGAGGTCACAAGTATTCCAGATTCCGGTATCACAGGCCTCTGGAAGTCCAGGCCATTCCAGTATGGAAGAATGAGGTACCACTGTACTATAGGGTAGCTGAAGGCACTCTGCTAACCACATCTCAGGCTCGCCTAAGCTAACTTGCTACTTCACATACTCTTGTGTGTTTGACCTATATTTAGTGTTATTTCAGATGTGGATTTTACCATGAGAGAAGAAATACCTTAGTGCCTAAAGGGGCCAACAAGAAAGCTGGAGAGGGGCTTTGATCAAGGGTCTGTAGGGACAGGACAAGGGGAATGGCTTTAACCTGCTAGAGGGGAGATTGAGATGAGCTCTGAGGCAGAAGCTCTTCCCTGGGAGGGTGCTGAGGCGCTGGCACAGGGTGCCCAGAGAAGCTGTGGCTGCCCCATCCCTGGCAGTGTTCAAGGCCAGGTTGGACACAGGGGCTTGGAGCAACCTGCTCTAGTGGAAGGTGTCCCTGCCTGTGGCAGGGGGTTGGAACTGGATGAGCTTTAAGGTCCTTTCTAACCCAAACCAGTCTGGCATTCTATGATCATATGATTTACAGCACTGTCTTACTTGCAGCAAAGAAATTCCCACCTCCTCAGCCCAAGTCTTCCAGCCACTGGTGTACTCTCTGTTTTTCATCTTAGATATTATATAGTGAGAAACTGGTGAAGCGACCTTCTTCAGACAGCCAGTCCTCATCATCTTCAGTGAATTTGGTACGTTGGTCAAAGTATGGAGACAAACTCAGCTCCAGGATGATGCTGATGGGAGCTGCTGATGCATCCCCAAACTTTAACAGAGGGGTTAGGACTGGAAGGAACGAGCAGGACAGAAGAGCCTGCCGTGCACCGGGCTCTGCAATCGATAATTCCTCCGTACATTTTGGTCAGGAACAACAGCCACTGCATCAGCCCTGTCCAGTTCACACCATTGTTTTTGACTTCAGCATGGTGCAGTTTGTGGATTTGACAGGTTCCGATTTACTGCGACAGGTAAGTAACCCAGCTGCACATAGATGTGAAACCTGGAGTTTACCCAATGTCTTATGTTTCTTATTTGGCCTAAAATGTCCTGATACACAACAGCCTGCACCTTTATAGGCACTAGATTTGTCTATCAAGTTTCAGAAATTAACAAATTCCCACTTTATTTTTACAAGCAGAAGCCCCACTATCCATACAACAGAGATGCAAACCCCAGTCCTCCACTGTGACCAGCTCTAGAATCATGTAAACTAAAAATGCATTTATAAAAATGTCTACTTGGAGGTTTTTGCCATTTTGACTGGTTATTCTTTCTTCTAGCTGGACACTTAAAAATGCTGTCCTTTCAAAGTGTCAGATATAAACCCACCGTCTTCTCCTAGAGTGATTTTGGTGTTACTAATCCCTAATTAGCCTTTTCTTTGATGTATGCCTGGGACTTTAAAGTCTTCAAGTGGGGATCTGAGCCAATGGAGATGTATCTTCAGTAAAAATAAATGTCATGTAGCTCTGCTTCTCAGAAAGATACAGTTCCAGATGGGTTCTTAGTCAGCTCCCTCAAACTCTGCAGCTCAGAGTTTGTGTTTAATTAAACAAACAAAAGATTTGTGCTTAATTAAACAAACAAAAGATTTGTGTTTAATAACAGATTAGAATAACACCTATTGGGAATGATTGTGGACTGAGCCAATGCCCTCCAAATCCTTGAAGATTGATTTGCCAACCATTAAACGACCCTCCTGCTGAGGAAAGAGAGTAAAGTCAGAGACTTTCCAGATTCCTTACAGCCCCGTGATCTGAAATTCTGTGATTCTCTGAAATAGCAAGTTTAATTGCCTTAATAAAAGCCCAAAACCAGCTTTGAGATGTTTTAATTACAAAGGGTCAGGGATTGAGAAAATGATGAGAATCTATCCTCTCTGAAATCCGATTCCTTTCACACCAAGTTAAGGGACTATACATGATACAGATATATGTAATATAGATGTACATATATATAGAGAGAGAGATAGATAGACACAGATACAGATACAGATACAGGTACAGATACAGATACAGATACAGATACAGATACAGATACAGATACAGATACAGGTACATGTACAGGTACATGTACAGGTACAGATGTAGATGGCTGTTAAATGCTGAACTCAAAACCAGGATTTGAGATGCAGGAATAAGGGTTTTCTTTGGACATAAAATACTACAAGGGAGGTTTTATTTCCTTGTTTATTTTTCACCTTCTAGTGCACTTGTGTAATGAGAATTGCTCTAATGCCTGCATGGAATTCTTTCCACAGATCATCCATATGTTTCACAGTATTGGCATTACAGTCCTTATAGCTGGCTGTCACTGTGAGTACAGTATTTGTTTACTAACATTGAATTATTTCCAAGGATAAGTTTTAAACTTAAGTGAAATGATTTAGCTGTACTGTTTGGTGTGATTTTGCTGCTGTATTTATTTACCCTTATTTTTTATAGCCTCCGTGGTAGCAGACTTTGAGAAGAATGATTTCTTTGACAGCTGTATCACCAAAGAAAGGTTCTTTCTAACTCTTCATGATGCTGTGCTGGCTGCTTTGAAGAAGCATCAGAGGCCAGATGAGCTAGACCGTACTGCAAGAGAGTTTGCTGAAGAACCACCAGCTGAACAGCAAAAGGTAGAATATTTAGCTTAACATTTAAGTGCTTCGTGTTGTTGAATTATCCCATCTGTAATTTCTCCAACAGAGCAAGGACCCTGGCAGGGCAGAACAAAAGCTCCAAGTGTTTTATTTCCAGAGGTTACTGTACCATCTCCCTTGGGGCTGATGGGGAAGTGAAGGATAGTGGTAGCTTGATTTCCTGAAGAACTGAAGTTTAGGCACATGCTCTTTCTGTCTGTATTCTGCAATAATTTTTCAGCTTTCTGGCTGTCCCAGCCAAGTTTGAACAGAGAAGAACAAGTTCCAGGAAAAGCCCTTGTTCTGAGTAGAAGATTCCAGTAATTGCCCCACCTAGGAAAAGAACCCAGCTGTGGCTATGTGTACAGCCAGGCTGGGGTCCTATGGCTGAAGGAACCAAGAGTGAAGGCAAAAACTTATCCAAAACTGCAGGAAAAGAGGGTTCGCAAGTCTGCTGCTCATGGCAAAACTTGTTTAACTCTCTTGGCATGGCTTGGAGCAACCTGCTCTAGTGGAAGGTGTCCCTGCCCATGGCAGGGGGTTGGAACTGGTTGAGCTTTAAGGTCCCTTCCAACCCAAAGCATTCTACAATCCTATGAATAGTCTTCTGCAAGGATATTGACCTTCCATGGTGTCACCCTCTAGTGTATATTCACCAGTCTCCCTTTCTTGGACACGGAGGGGAGGGTTGGGAGCAGCCAGCAGGCAGGAGGTGACAGCAGTTCCCCAGGAGCCTGCTCAGGATGGAGCTGGGCTGGGGTGTGGATGGGACCCCCAGCAGTGCGGTGCTGTGAGCAACACCTTACTGCTCACAGGATGGTGCCTTGGCACAGGAACTGCACTTGAGCAGCTCAACAGCTCAGCCACCCTTGGCTTACAGTAACATTTGTGTTATGTTTCAGAGGAGAAGTTTGCTCTCAAGGAAGAATAAAGATTTTTTCTCTGCAAAGAGCTCTTACAACAAACGTTGGCATGAAGATGCCTCATGCTCAGGCCCAAATGAAGCAGGGCCAAGCTCTGTCTGGCAGTATCATACTCAAGCCCATCAATCAGATTTCCAGGACCCAAGCTGGGTGAAGAGATGGAAGTAGAGCAGCAAGCCCTGAATTGCAACTGCTGGAGAGTTGGGATTTCAGTAGAGAGAAGAAAGGTACAGTTAAGCAACAGTTCTGGTGAATTTTATCAGCCTTTGATCCTCTTTCTCTTTTTCCTGTTCCAGAGTTCTTAAAATATACAGCCTAATGCCTCCTGTAATCCTGCTGTTCTAAACAAAAAGCAACATTTGTGTTACTACTTTCAAGTATTTTCCAATAGATATCCCAGCCAGCAATGCTGAAAGCAGAGACATTTCAATGTGTCAGATAATTCCTAGTTTTGTAGCTAATTCTAGCAAATTATTCGCACTTGTTTTCTGAAACTCTGTAGAAGTCTGCATGTCCTAACTTAGCACTTCTTACATACTTATTGCTTGTTAGTAAGTTAAATTAATCTGCCATATTTCAACAGATTCCATTCAGGCAGTTTAAGTATTTTCAGGTGGATTTAGAATGATGTGAAGCTTCAAGGAAAACATTTTATTATTACTCTTTGACACTGTTGTCTGCACTAACATGACATGGTATCTGCCCATTATTTCCTCCTCAGTCCCTCTCTAATCCCAGTAAACAATCTAATTTTTTCATGGGTTTTTAGTCCTTTACTGAAATGGTTAAGAATGGGAGAATGCCTTCACTTTGTTCCGAAGAAGCAGGAAAACGGTAGCCGTAGATACAGTTAGCACTTGATAAAAAACTCCATTTAGTTGTATTTTCTGTGGACCAGCCAGAGTTGGATGCAGTAATATTAGTACAGAGACATAAGGTGGGATTCCCCTGGAAGCAGAAGAGTTTTGTAACAGCAGTACACATGACAAGGATTCACCCTGCCCTTGTCTGGAGGATTATCCCATAGCACAAACTGCCCAGTTGAGGAGCTGCAGGGGAATTAACTTCAGATGGGTGGCCTGCACTGTGTATAAAAACCATCCAGACCCCATTTTATGGCAAAGTGGGGTTTAAATGCTGGATCCTTCGTGTACAGATCCTGAGCCCTGGGCTAAATTTGTTAATGTGTGAACAGCTCTGACTTTTGCTGCTGGTCATCATGTGGTTTTTGGATATGCAGCAACAGCAAGGTGGCTCTTCTGAATTCTGCTGCTCCTGGCTGCTAAATTTTAGCAATAATACAATGGCTAATAGGAATATTAGTATTAAACTATGTGTAATTTATTCCAGTGAGTTCTACTTTTATATATAAATATATTTATTTTCAGTTTAAATTCTTACTGCTTCCAAGCAGTTTCTAGAGGGAAGCCACAGCACTGCATGTGAAAGCTGCAATGGTGAAGGATTTTAGTGCACATTAATGTGTGGAGCTGCTTACTGTAGAGAAAACTGAGTCCTGGAACCCTCATACCTTTTGGAATGAAAGACAGGAAAAACTGAAAGCTCAAATGGTATTGAGTAATTCTCAAACCACATATGCTTCCCTGCATTGTTTTGGACAATGGCTTCACGCCAAGGTCCTCTGGGCTCTGTTCAAAACAGAGTAATACAAAACCCATGAACAGCATAGCCCTAATTTCCAGATTCTGTTGGCTCTCCTACAGCAGCCTTGATTTAAGATGAAATGGCATCCCAAGCTGTTGGCACCATAGGAAGTTTCTGTTGCAAACTTAAGAGTTGTTGGGGTGTTTTGGCTTGTTCAGCAAAGTTCTGAATTTTACCTCCCTACCCCATGACTCTGCAGAGTTGAGCACCAGGGGACAACTCAGACGTCAGTGTTCAAATTATGGGTGTTCATGTTGCAAAACAAATATCTTGCTGAGAGGAATTCCAGACAATCCCAATCCTTTTCCCTGAGAGCCGCGCAGTGCCATACCCTGCTCCCGCATCCGTACACAAAGCTGTTGTGTTCAGCCAAGCTCAAATCCCCGGACACGGGCTGTGAAGTGACAAAGCACGTACTTCATGGCCAAGGACTCCACCTACACCTCTGAAAAGCCACAAAGTCGAGGTTCAAAGGCCCATGTATAATCATGTGTTTGCAGGCAGCTTGACGTTCTCACCTGACCTACTTGCAACAGCTATGGTTGTTCTGGGCACACAGCAACTTCTTCATGTCCTTTGCAGCCTGCGTAATGCCACAATGTTTTCCTAGCAGGAAACCCAGGCAGCTCTCCCATTGCACAGAACTAGAGGATACAGATCCTCAAACATGCACATTATCATTGCAGGTGGTGCAAAGCATGTATAACCACCCACAGCCCTGTTGTTGTTTTATTAATGCCTTACTCTGGTGTGTAAATGGCTGCAGAAGACATAAACAGCTGAGGAAGCCCAGGAGTCACATGGAGCATGGCAGAAGCAGTTCTTGTGGTGTGTTGCACTGTGCAGGAAGCAAGGAGGAACGACCAGACAAACTAGTTACGTATGGGCATAGTTTGGGGCATTCATTCTGCTTTAGAAACAAGTGCCAGGCTGGTTGTGGAAAAATGAGTCTGTCTTCACTAAGGCCTGGCTCAGCAGCCCTCTGAACGGGGTGCCCCAGATGGTGTTTTTCTATCCCAAATTAGAAGAGTCATGGAATAAACTTGGCAAGAGCATGCGTGCTCAGTATTAACTTGCTTCTGCAGCTGACCTGTGCACGAGGTCCTTTGGGCTGCAGTGGCAGCTACTGTTGAAGGGAATGTGATACATGTCCTCACACTCTCTTCACCCCAGAGCTTTCCAAACCCTGCCACATGCCATCTCTGATGTCCTCACGTGAAGAAACCCAGCCTAGGCCAGCAGCAGCACAAAGCAGAGCCAGTGTGAGCACAGCACAGCAGGAGAGCTGCCTATAAATCGAGATTATCATTGCTCACACTGCGACTTTGAGGTGGGAACTTGCAGCACAAGGGGGACCCCAGTGTGCTTAAGGTCTTTCTGCTCAGTGTTCCTTCGAGCACTGCAGTTGTGCTGAAATTTGCCTCTTTCTGCTGCCTCCCCATCACAAAATCTCATGCTGATTCCTCACATCTCTCTTTGCAGAACAGATGTGCTGAACATCTGGTGCTTGTAGTGAGGAATAGAACAACAACTACAAATTAGGGAAAGGATTTTTTCTGTCTTCCAAACTCCACACAGGCACACCTGCCTTTCCGTGGAAATACTTATAACCTGGCACCATGGGATCCTTGAAGGTGCCATGTCTGAGAAATTAAACCAGAGCAGACGCAGTTCGTGCTCTGGACACAGCGGGTGCCCAGGACTCCCTCTGCCGGCGCCCCGGCAGGAATGGGTGGCCAGAACCCCTGCCAGAACCTGACAGAACACGGAACGTGCTGTAACGGAGCTTTGAGGAGTTCTTAGGAGTTAACTAATGATAAGCAAAACTGCAGAGAGGAATAAAGCTTGCGGGAGGTCTGAGGTGAATGTACAAGCACCTTAAAATACAGGTTCAGCGCCTACAGCTGAAGGCCTGAATGGCCCACTTGCTGAAATCTTTGATAATTTTCATGGTAATTATGAAGTAATTTAATGTTAAGAATCTCTCATTCTAATGGCATTTCACTTTTAAAGGCACACGCTTTACAGATCTCCTCAGTGCAAAGCTTTACACACTGAGGGGCATGTGGAAGGCCTGTGGGCACCCCGAGGAGCACCCTGAGGTGCACCCTCTGCTTGGTGTCCCCCGCGGCGGGCAACTACCGCCTTCTTGGGCTGGGTGACAAGTCCTGGTCCTGGTGTCATGGCCCCACTGCTGTTCTTCCCCCGCGGGGCATCCGGGATAGGTTATAGAACCATAGAATCATGGAATAGTTTGGATTGGAGGGACCTTCAAAGCTCATCTAGTCCAACCCCCCTGCAAAGAGCAGGGATACGCTCAACTAGATCAGGTTGCCCAGAACCACATCCAGCCTGGCCTTGAATGTGTCCAGGGATGGTGCATCCACCACTTCTCTCAGCAACCTGTGT